TTTTTTTTTTTGTTTTTGCCAAAGCATAAATGGGTGAACAATTCCCAAAATTCTATTTTTATCTGTTGTAGAATCCATTTAAAAACAACGAGAAGCTATCGGGCTTTAATAACATTAGCGAATGTAAAAATTGCAACAACACGCTTAGAACAAGCAGAGGGATTTGGTTAACGAGAAGATATCCAAATTTCTTAATTATCTGTCGTACATAGATCTAACATTTATCGAATTTATCTACGTGAACCAATAAACTCACTTACTTCACATGATCCTTTTAAGGGAAAAAATACCACTTCCGCAAGTTTCTAAGCGAAAAGAGTCTACAATTCGGTATAGGACGAAAATATATTGTTCTCATTCGACTTTTTTTTTTCAGTAAGTAGAAAATTTCACAAACGCAGTTAAAAAGCAAAGGTAGACGAAAAAATTCCCATTTATTTTATAAGCAAAAAAAAAAAAACGACAAAAATCAACTCACATAGTACACTCAGCATATTTTAACTTTTTGAATATCATCATTCACATCATCATTACCCGGCGTCAGCAATGCAACTATTAAGCAATTGCAAGCAAGTAGTTGAAAAAACAAAAAAAATAAAGAAAAATGGTCAGTGCAACGTCACTATGTAAAAAAAAAAGAAGTTTAACTATTACATGAACTGTGTGGTTGGCTGGTTGGCCGCAAAAATTAAGTTAATGTTTGCTTATGAATAAGCAAATAACCTTCACAATATGCCTACAAACTCGGCCAAACCGCAACAGCAGAGCTCCATGTAAATAGTTTACAACAACAACAACAACAACAACAACTGCAAAAACGAGTAAAGTAATAAAAATATAACTTAAATATATTTTCATTAGTTGGTCAGAAATTAACAGAAAATAATAAAAACTCATCTCTTTCTCCCTCTTTATCTCCCCTTTTCTCTTTCCCTTCACCCACCAGCATTTTCAAAATATTTGCGGATTTTGTTGCTCACATCTTCTCTGCAACTACTTCGCATTGTGTTGCGTAGCTGTTGTACTATGTGACTAAATTGTTCAAAATTCATTCCTACGCCTTACATTGTGTGTGAGTGTAAATGTAATTAGTTGAGAGAGTGTAGATGTAATTAGTTGCGGTTAACATTAATATTAATTTGTTACTGAATAGTTATCCTGTTGAATTGCGGTATATGGCCAACGTTGACATGTGTTTGTGTGCGTATCTATCTATCTATCTATAAACATGCTAAAACATGATGTAATAAAAAATGTTTAGCAACATTCTTTATATATTTAATTAAACAGAGAAATGTTTTAGCAAATTATTATTACATAAGCTAAGCGAATAAATTACACAGAGTTTTTAAAATACTTCCGTTCATTACTCTTAAAAAAAATTTCAAAACATATTAATAAAAATTCTTTTACTTTAAACTTCAATTACGATTATTAATAAAATTGAATGAAAACCGTTTCTGGCGTTGTTTATTTTAGGCCTATCCCCGAAATCTGAAAGGCTTAATGGCTTAAGTTAATTTAGCCATGTCTGTCTGTCCGTCCACTCAGCTATCTATTCTTTTGTCAGTGATGGTAAGTGCTGCCAAAAATGAACGCCGTACATTAAAATTGATAATACGCCTGTTCGTTAAGAAGAAAGCAAATAAGGACATTGTGGTAGAGTAAAGCCGACCTTTAAACACCCTACAAAATTTCACTCTCCCCCTTTTTGGTAGTAATAAATCAAAAATTACACATTATTTCCCGGCAGTGGCAAATTTTTCCTGAAAGCCGGCATATTGCAGCACGCACACAACACCACATGACGTGAACCATATTTAATAAACTTAATTTACTTCCCAAAAATTTTATTTTTTTCCGTTTCTGTCACAAAAAAAACTCTAAATTGGACTGTCTGTCCATACAACGGCTCACCTCGCACGATAAGCTCTATGTTTTTTGGGGGCTATTTGGTCCAAATTCCCTATCGTTAATTTTTTCCTAAATTGCTACCATAGACCAATTTTCATCATAAAATAGTTTGAAAGACCTTTTTATTCCTGAGAAATCTTATGTGAAGCGGAGTCGAAGCAATAGACCCCTGTGGGTCAAAATTGGTCCACTTCATTTTTACACCAAATTATAATACTTAAAGCATTTTGATCATGAAACATTAATAAGTAGGCCTTTTTGCCATATAAAGGCTTGTATTTCTTGAGAATCCTTATGCGCAGTGCTATTCAAAAACTACCATGAAATATTGAAAAGGAGACTTTCCTATTTATAAAGATTCAGCTTCCATAAGTACGATTGTATGACAAGGGGATTTCACTAAAATACCTCAATAGTGGTTATCTGCAGGTTGAACACACAAATACATGGACAAATATCAGACGGACAGACAAGCTTACTTTAAAAGGTCTATCGCAAGACCGTCTGGATGTTACATAAATTCGCACAAACTTAGTACGCCTTCTACCAGAGGTGATTTAGGGTACAAAATGCAAAACATTTCCCCGAAGCTAACCAACCAAAAGTATAAAGGAACACGAATTTTCTGTAGATATTGTGGGTTTTAATTGTTGTTGCATTTGCATTTATTACTGTCGCTGAAGTCATCCAGAAGGGCCTTCATTACGTCTAAGATCTTTTAAGCACGTTAAACATGACGCATAAGCTTACAGCCTCAAATTTTCAGTTTCGTAGTCGATATGGAGAACTGGACATGTTTCACTTAGGACTTTTCAGTATCTATATTTCCAGAGTATATCCGATGCTTCAAGTAAAAAAACGCTCTATATTTCGGTCTGATCATATATTCTGCGAACTAAAGAATAAAGTGAGCAAACGTATCATTGTTCAATAAGGTATATTATGAGTTATGGCGCTTCTTAAAACCCGTCAAGTTGAAGCAGATACAAGGTGTGTTCAAAAAAAGGCGGCTTTTTATTTTCTTTCAAAAATATTTATTTACTCACCAATATCGATTTTGTCCCTTCAAAGTAATACCCAGTATTTATAATAAACTAAATCAGGCGATGTTCCTTACGCATGTACTACGTTTACGGTCGTAAAGAAAAAAGAAAAAGATAAGCAGTGACCGCAGCTTAGTAAGTAAATGCCCAGTTAGTAAGTGTTATGCCTTTATCGAATAAGCACTTGCTTTAGCTACGAACAATTATGACCCTTGGACATGCACGTGGTAGCTGCGATTCTTATCTAAATAGCACGGCTTTTATGAACAAAGAACTGTTCGTGACAACGGTTACCCAAGTTTCGCATTAAGATTTTTGAAAATAGTTACATAATATAATATAATATATAATAATATTCTTCTTCTAATTAAGTATTATGGTTTGGATTCAGAGATAACACTGTAAACGTATTCCTGAACGTTAACGAAACTTTTGTGAAGACTTTTTAGGGGGAAAATTCCCAATACAAACAAACGCTCGGAAAGTTTAAAGGAAAAAAAAAAACAATTATGGAAATTTTATATAAAATGATTTTTGATGATTTTTAAGAAAAGAATAATTTTTGGCGAAAAGATTATCTCAAACGTTTGAAGAGCAAAGCTTTCTTTAGTGCAACACTTGCTTTTCCCACTTTTCTGTATGAAAAATGTACACTTTCACACTTACTTAAGTATGCAAAAGAATAATGGAAAAAGGAGATACTTACGATTTATCTTTCCCCCTCCTCCCTTGAAGGTTTGAAGACGAGTAGAGAGGCAAAGTGTCGATGCCTTTACGTACGATGAATAACACTTGATGCTCAAATATTCCTACTCATAAAAAGGGGAGGAAATTTATGTATCCACAATAACGATTTTCGCATAAGAACACACTACATGGTTAAGTGTGCCGTCAGATATGCGTTAGGTGTGCGTCCAGGGAACAACATCTTCATTGTAATATACATACCTGATATTTGATATACAAATTTAAAAATTTCCTCTTTATTCAAGAAAACCAATGGTTTTTATATCTACGGCGAAAGTTTGCTCCTCATATGGGTAAATATTGTCCTAGACTTAATCTTGCTAACAGCGTGTAATATATTTATGAGATCAAGACTTTGAAGAAACTTAAACTCATGTTTGTTTATAAATTATAATCAATAATTTTGTGAAGTCAGGCCGTATCCACTATTCGTGTAACGCGATGACGGTGACGGTCAAGAAGAAGAAGAAATGTAGAAAGGGAAAGATATAGAGAGATGGCTGCAGCCTAGCAGATCTGTGTGTCCAATTGGTAAGTGTTATAACTTGTTAATCGCGATCCTTACCTATTGGTATTGCTCCTGCGGACGAGTGTCCATTTAGTCATTGATACTTTTCGTAGGACATAATTATCGATTTTTTATATGATTTTTAGCGGCCATCAAACTGGGTGACGGGATTTATAAAAATCCTAAACCTTGAAGGGGAGCACAATAGATCTTCTAGGCCGCAGTAGATCTATGCACATTATAATAGAAACAAAAGTTCACTTCAGAAATTCTCACAACAGTTCAAAACATCGTCAAATGCTGTTCAATGCTTAATTTACTTCCTTTAATTTGTTGGCATGAAAGAAAGAAAATAAATTAAATATTTTCCAGATATTTTTAGTGAAATATTTACTCTTTGGGATTTTTTTTTCATTATCCTTTGCCAGCCGTAACTGTCCAGGTAGCAGAAATTGTTTTATTCCCTACGAACGTCTCAAGGTAAGTTAGTTTTCCTTATTTTAGTTTAAGTATTTTGCATTTTGGAAATCACAATGATTTGAGTTACCTGAATTATGTTCAATGCAAACAGCAATGAAACATAAATGCAAACATAAAGTTATTGTATTGTAATAGTGAGCACGCATACCTGCAGTCTCAATCGATTTTGTTGCTGCTTGTAAAGTTTGATTAGTTGTTAAGCAAACGACTCTCAGAACATTTTGGGCAAACGTGTATTAGTCCTATCCATCCACCCTTAACAAATTTTACGGCTTCTGTTGCAGTGAAACTAAAATTTAGATTTAGAATTTAACGAGACGTTTACCTCTAACCGTCTTGCGCTGTATGCGTAGTTTTGTTCGTCATCATTTCAATTCAATTGAAACGCTTGAATACTCTGCACCTTTGGGCTGAAACGAATTCGTTTTTTGTTTTGTTTTTTACACGGAGTGTTTCAATACTTTATTTAAATAAAATCATCTTAACAAAATTGCATTAAAACATGTATAACGAGGATTTAAATCGCGTTAAAGCCATACTGAAGCGTTTAATAATCTCGTATCCGTATAAAACGACTATTAAGAGGTTGAACAATCGCTATCGTGATGTGGAAGGTGATGACATACCATTTTATAACTTTGGCTATAATGATCTTGAAGCATTTCTACGCTCAATGCCAGATACTTTCACGCTCTTCGATGACGGCCACACATTTTTAGTAAGAGTTGTGACCGGCAGAATGTCACCAAACAACACGGATGAAACGGTACAAAAACAAGAGAGCAAAGAAAACAGTTCCAGCTGCACTTCCAACATTCCAAACTCGAAGGCGGAAAACGAAATAGAAAGGAATGTCTTGTCAAATGGTTTGAATAATTTGAAAATAGACAGAGAAGAAGCCCAACCTGTGCAGAGAGAGGATAAAAATGATTCCAAACAATCATCGAGAACTTCCTTAGATAGGAAAAAAATAGTCAATAATAATGATCAATTGGACGACATGAGGACAACTTTAAAATCCCTTCGACTAAGAAATTGTGCCGAACACAATTCGTCTTTAACACCGGAAGAGAAACTCGGATTAATTCATAAAATATTAAGACAACGACGACAGCGACGTAGAAATGCCATAGAAAAGAACGCAAATTCGAAAGGAGATGAAAAATTGATAAGAAACGTGCGATCGAACGATTTAAATAAATGCGAAGAAGAGAAAGGTAAACAAAAGCCAAAGCAACCACATGAGAACAGTTTGCTAAGTGTTTACAACAACAGAAATCAATCGAAAAATCCACTTGAAAAAATCAACATAAACGATCAGCCGAACGATTTAGAAAATAGCTTAGTATCCTTAGCGAGTCTTGTAATATCATGCGACCACAAATCTATTATCAATCAATATTTATTACGAGAAGGAAAGCGAAACCGAAATCCGAACTGCGTTAGGAAAAACGCATGCTCGGCAGTAAAAGAGGAAACACAAATGACAGACGCATCAAATGGGTCAGGCAAAGAGAAGCAAGAGGTAGCGTATTTTTTATTAGGTCGCCGAGTAAGCAAATCGCATATAGCAGGACCTTTCACTTTCGCCACCAGCACTTCACTTCAGAACTTCGCTAATCAGGAAACTGTTTATTATAATAGAAATAAGCCAAACAGTGGCCTTAACCTTAAACAGGACGATATTAGAAACCAATCAAAGGGCAATAAAACTTCACTGGATGGTTTTAAATTTTGGCGTTCGGAATTAAGCAAGACGGTGGCAAGATTTGCTCCCCGCCCAATGAAAATCAGCACGAATATCCCGGCAAGTGCAGTATATGGCGGATTTCCATTCAGCAACACGTACAAGCCCAGTCGCACTATTCGAGATGCGCGTTTAAAAATAAAAATAAATGAAATTCACAGTCCGCATAAATTTTGGTTCCATTTTTGTGCACCTAACCTATATTTGAACATGTTAAGCAAAATGTCAACTTGGTATAGAGACTGCAATGAGAATGAATGGCAGATACCTTTGGATATTTTGGCGCCCGAACGAGTGTGCGTCGCGTTTCACGAAGATGACTGGTACAGGGCAAAAATTGTATCATGGCCAACTAATGTCAAGAAGGTCAAGGTATTCTGCGTCGATTACGGCAACGTGTATGAGATTGATGTCAATCGCATTAAGTTTTTACATGAGCGTTTCGCTGACATACCCACCCTAGCTATGCGCGGTAGTTTGACGTGCGTTAGACCACTTCATTTACATTGGTGTCATGCCGCCACAAAATCCTTTCGAGACATGACTTTAGCTTCAATTGTCGAGGCCGAGGTTGTTGATATTGATTGCACGCAGGCAATTTATTATCTCGGTATTAACAACAAGGTTGTAAATATCGGTACATATTTAGTAGACCAACATCTCGCTAGATATAATAGGTCTTGCGATTTGCGTCGGGCCTATCAAGAATTTCCAACATTTTCAATGCTCGAATCCGGTGAATATCCCAGTTTTACTGAATTGACTCAGCTATTAGCCAAAGGATTCGATTACGAAACTATTTATGATCCTCTCATTCAAAGATTAACAACAGTGTCACAAGATCCAAAGACCGGCTCCACGGGCGTTTGCAATTTTCCTTTCAACTTAATAACTACAAATCCGTTTTATGCCGACATCATTAAACAATTGCAGAGCAAAACGGCTTCACATCGACAATTTTCGTGGTAGAAGGAAAAGATTTTACTATTTGGAAAAAATATCCAATAAACTATTTTAAATTAAAAATGCCAATGTATGTGCATATACATAATAATATCTAAAACGTTAAAGTTTCCAAATCAAAACTAAAGATGTTGTTATTGTATTATCTAATTAATGCGTCATTAAATTAGTTCGTTGTTACTTCCGCATTAATAAAACATGACAGCATCGTTAACAAAAGAGAGTCGTTTCATTTTGTGATCCAATTATAAAAATTTTTACCCCGAATATCTCAAATTTGTCAAATGAAAAATGTGGCCGGCCCGGAGGGCTTGCAAAATTTGGAATTTTATACCCATCGCCGAAGCGTGAGCGGTATATTCATTTAGTGAAAACGAAACCTGACGAAAGCTTCAGAGATCACAAATCGAATTATGATCACCATCGAATTATGAATCGACATAACTGTGCTCGTCTGTCCGTTTGCTTAATATGTGTTGTAAACATTCTTCTGGCGCAGAAGCTAGACTCAAGTCCCCATCAACTATATAAATGAACTTCAAATTTGAAATGCACTTAAGCATGTTCGTTTATCCGTCTGTCAGTCCGTGCATTTGCCCATCTATCAAACGGTACATACTTGAAGACTGCAGCTCCATTTTTGCGGCCAGGAGAATGTTTACAACAGACATTATATAGACCAACAGACGGCCAAACAGACAGATGGATATGCTTATATATACATATATTAGTGGGATATCTGAAGTTTTCCTCTGAGCGTCACAAACGTTTTGACAACATGAATATATTTCTCATCCTTCAACGATGGGTATGAAAAGGAAAGTTGGTTTCAAATATTTTCCCTTGACAGGTTAAACTCATCAGCACTGGTCAGTGAGAGCGTGCAAAAACTGCGGAAAAGCGATAGTTTTTTCTTTTCTGTGCAGTTATGCAGTACGTATGTACTTGTGTGTTGGAAGAAATTATTGCAACGTACGTAAAACATTCTTTATTGAATCAAGAAATCAGTTTGTAGCGTTTACTCACAAACATTCAAACACATTCATTATACTTATATTTTAAATGCAGTTTTTGAAATCAGTTGAAAACCATTTCGATCAATAAATGTTTGCTATTTTTCGAACAAAACCATTATGTCATCATTGCAGATCTTTTGGGTTTTCTGGGCGGAAAACTGAATCAAGGCCTCTTTTAAAATCAATTCGGTGAAAATCGAGAGAAATGATAGGCAAATAAAGCAAATTGCAGACGATAGGAGGAATGCATCGAAACTTCATTTCAAGTTATGAAAAATGTATGTGTATGCTCTAGCTCTAGCTGTCGTGATAGAAGACGGCTTATCCTGCATTAGCAATGTTGAGCACTTTATCCCAACTAGAATCAAATATCTGACCAGATTGGAACCGTTCAGTATGCACGATTCCTTTCCGATCCTTTCCCCATTTGTGTAGATTCAATCATCTTGGACCACTATCTCTCTTTTATGCGCTGTCGTTGCAAACAATCACTTCTTTTCATTGTCAATCTGCTGAAAAATGGCGCGATTTTTTTTTATAACATGGCAACAATTCGGTGATAGAAATTCTATTCATGTCGTTTGTTTGCTGTTTTTTCATTTGGCATTCACAGCTCGGAGTTGTTTTTGAATCCAACTTAATGCAAATTGTTCAGAGCTGTTTGATGGCCAATGTTTAGTTCTGCAGCAATACGTTATGATGCGGTCTACAAATATTCTTGGGCTTTTTGTACACTGTCATCAACTTTATCAGCAATTGGCCGATCAGAGCGGGCCACCTTGTTAATATCGAAATTTTCCTGCAAGTTTGCCTCATTTGCAAAACTCAACTACTTTCCAAACTAACATTGTTTCAACATCTTTTTCATAATTATTTAAAACGCCTCACTTTTCATATATGCTATGGCACGGCATGGTAGGGTTGAAGGTATCGCGACCTTTTTTATTGGTAATATTTTACAAATAACTTCACAAATTAAAAATCATAACCAATTCCTTAATATTTTCAATCTTAAAACTCTCAGAAACATTCCATGAATATAACTTATTTGTTGGAAATTGTCTCTTCTCTCTTCTTCTCTTCTTCTTTTGATTTTCGAATTTAACCTCACGCGAAAGCGATAAGAAAAAATTCAAGGTTAAATCTAGAAATCGTTTTAAAACCTGCGGTGAAGTTTCAACAGGTAGACAAATGAAACTAAGCCGATGGCCCCTTTACAGCTCATAGAGAGTTTGCAACATCTCGAAGAAATTCCGTTTGAATTGCGAGCATATAACAACTCTTTTGTATAAGAAGCGGGTAAAAGCGAGCTTTATAGGCCCTATCATTCTCTTGTGTCATACTTAATGTCTTTATATTGCTCACGACCACGAGGCTCCAACTATTTAGTTTTATTTCTACATTCTTCCCTATATTAATGAAGCCTGTAGTCTCTATATAGATGACAATTCCATGTTTCTTTAGTCCGGCAATAATTTCATAGATCGTGTTTGAAAAGCTCAAAAAGAAACTCGCAAATTTTTATAGCTTATAAACGGTAGTACGTGTTAGAGTGAAATCTTTCTCTAATGATTTCTGCATCTAATTTAAATCGAATAAAATTCTAATTAAATAAAACAATTAAAGTTGTCTAACAGTTAAGGGATCAAACTGTTTCGATTGACCTTTAATAAGCCAACACCTTGTATAAGTAAATGGCGACAATAAGCCTCGCGCTTCTTCTCATTTTTTCATACGCATAATTTAAAACTATTTTTTTTTTTTGCCATTTTTTTGTAATTAGACTCGTTTTAATTCCTACAGTGATTTGTAATTTAAGTCCAAAAAAAAAAAGGAAAAGAGGCAAAAGCTATGAAAGATATGAAAAAGCATATATGAATAGTAATGGAGTAGAGTAATGAAACTGACACATGCCCGAGGTAATGTTATATAAACATTCATAGCAAATGGAACAGAAAAGCCATACGTTTCGTTTTAAAAGCAGCAAAAACGTAACAAATCCTTTTATTTATTTTTTTTATTATTATTATTTCATTTTTTTTTTTTTTTTTTTTTTTTTTTAAATAATTTTTAGACAAAGAAATATGTTAGACGAGGCAGAAGGCAGAGATTGGCGAACAAAAAGAAATCCGTAAATGTGTGTTGTTTTTGTTATAACCATCATAAAATCGAGTATAATAACAACTTCCGCTAGAGTGGAGGCATAACATACACATGCACATATATGTTCGCATGTGCTATACAACTCAATGTTTTTTTTTTCCCCCCATTTTTTTGCACATTACTTAGAGCAAAGAAAAAATCCATAGAGTAAAACAAAACCATTATGTGTGTATGTGAAATAAAAGCAAAGGGGGGGAAAGAATCGTAGAAAAGTCGCTTTTGGCATTCATTTTACACATAGGTGTGTGAGTGCGAGTGTCAGAGTGTGTTAGAGGATGTGCAGGGGTGTGTGAGAAGGTTCTCGTTCCCGCCATCTTTCTTGCATCTTACTAGCCATGCCTTAAAAAAATCATGGCTTTTATATCATTTTTGTATAAAATATTAGTCGTTGCGTAAGTAATGATGGCGTACATACATGCCTGCTACCGAAATACAAATAAAGGCAGTTTTAGAGTCAAGTTCTATAATATTTACTAGTAGCATGCAGCTGTTATTTGTCTAAGTTGCGGTCTTGCTGTTAGCTTTATATGCTGTTAAATGCACAGATATCCATATATAAATGTCCGTCCAAAACGACGTGCAAACTACATTACATTGCAATATTACTCTTTCTCTTTCACTCCGTACGTGCATATAAATATTGGCGTTTTTTTCACTCACTTTTATTTTATATTCGAAAAATAAACAAAACATAAAAAAATAAAAATAAAAATGCACCATACTCTGTTATTCTTCTTTATGTACTTATACAATATATGTATATATAAATATATATATATATATATATATATATATATAAATATATTGTTGTGTATGTTACTTTATAAGTTCAGCTTTTCTCAACGAAGAGCGAGCGCCATCGTCAGCATAGAAACTAAACAACAGCAGCAACGGCCCTATATACATATATTGTGTATGCCGGCGTATAAGTCTAAGCTCAGTTGTGTTGGTGTTGGCATGCAACAAGAAACGTGCATGACTTAACTATTTTACAATTTATGACCACTTGGGATTTTTTGAGATTTTTCCATTCCTTTTTTTGGTGTTTTTTCTTCTCTTAACTGTGTTGATATGTGTTTAGCATAACACAGACTATAAGTGTTTTTTGTTTTAGTTTTTTCGCTCATTTCTTTCTGTATTCTGCGCTCTTTTATGGCTAGGATTTGTTTTTGGGTTTTGGATTTTATTTTTTATTATTGCATCGTTTCTCTCCCTTCAGGTGTCCGCGTTTCATTCATACATTTTGCTCGTAATGCGAAGCAGCGAAACTAAAAGAATTCTGTGCTTGAGAGGGGTTTCCCTTTTAAAAAGTTATAAATTTCTATAACCTTTAAATTTATGGTAATTTTATACACACACCGACACAACGTATTGTGAACGTGTGTACAATATATTTCGAGAGCTTGACAACGACCAGTGACTTTATAGAAAAGGGTTTGCAATAACATAAATT